CTTGTATACTTATACTGTATATATAACTATATATATAGTATATAAATTTATATATATTTTGTCAATTTTAATTAAAAATTAATTATAAATTATAGTTTTTAACAAATAACAATTTGATGTGAAATATGAAAAATATTATAAATAATATTATTAATAATATTACTAAGTTATATTAAATAAATCGTATTTTATAAAATATAACAAATTTCATTATAAAATTGGATTTATTAAGATTATCATTTTTGATTAAAAACTAGATATTTATATGCAATAACAATATATAAATTTAATATTATAAATAACAATATGTAAATTTATATATTTAAATGCTAATTTATATATTTATATGCTAAATATAAAATTTTTTAATTGAAATATCTCTAAACTTTTTAATTGAAAACTTATTAAATAGATTATTGTATATAATACTATTAATAATTATTTATAAACATAATTATTTTTACCAAATTATCAATTTACTAATTCCTTTTAAATCAATTTCATATAAAAATTATAAAAATTCATTTTATATAAAATGTCACAAAAATATGGAAATTCTTGATATAATTTCGTATAACATTTTCCTTTCGACAGATTTTTTCAATACATATTACTTAGATTTGTTCGTGTTCAGCCGATATTACTGCGAACTAGTTTATGCGTTTCGTGATTGGCCAATGTTTTTCGTTAATAATTCATTAACAAAGCAATAACGAAAATTTTTACAAAAAAAAATGTTACATGAAATTACTTTAGAAATCTTTATTTAATCTATATTTGAGATATTCTGTACATCATATTAAGATAACAAATCACTAAATTAAGTCATATATTAAAATATATGTAATATATATTAAAAATTAAAAAATCCATATTCTCAATATATAAATATACACACATATAAATACATGTTGTCTCATAAAAAATTTTAATAAAATATATATAGAACATATAAAAATTTATATATATAATTTGATTTATATATAAAATTGATATATATATAAAATTACAAGTTAAAACTTACAATATACTATTTCATCCATGAAATAGTGTCACTAATATAAATTCTATTTACTTTCTTTATCTAACTTATAGGCAAAATATTAAATATTGTATAATGTATATATCAATAGCATATAAAAAAAATATAACAGCAATTTCATATTTAAAATTTATTAAAAACAATTGTTTAACAAATATCTTAACTGTGAATTTATATGTAAATCTTCCGAAATAAGATAAAAATTTCTAATAAAAATGGTATTATTATCTTGATTTAAAAGATTTTAAGATTAGAATTTTAAATTCTATATAAATATGACATAGCACTTTTATGTAGTGATTATAATTTTACGTAGTAGAAATTATTGTAGCAATTGTATCGCCATGAATCGAATAGTGATATTTGGAGCTACGGGAAATACAGGATTATGTGCTTTAAATAGTGCTGTAAATAAGGGTAAAATGTTATTTATTTTCTATTTCATTAATGTGTACCAAAAAGTGATTTTAATTATTCAAAATATAATATGAATGAAATTTAATGAATATTATTAAACATGTACATATATTTAATTCTGTGTATTTTTATATATGTTCAATATATTTACAAAGAATGATCTTAATAAAAAAAACATTAATAATCAAATAAATTTTTTTTTTAATTTTCTTAAGAAAATACAAATATATTTGAAAAGTGTAAATTTTATAAAATTAATTTTATTTTTTTTTTCATAATTTTCATAATTCATTAATCATGTAAAACATTTAGGATTAAATGTAAAGGTATTTGTGAGAGATGAAAACAAAGTTCCAATGAATTTAAAAGATAAAATTGAAATAATTATTGGAGATGTTATTAACAAAGAACAAGTTTCAAATGCAATATCTAATACTGATGCAGTGGTTGTTGTGCTTGGTACACGAAATGATTTAAGTAAATATCTTTTTTTGATATAAAATATAATAATATATTATAATATTATAATTAAATATTATAATATTATAATGTCATAATATATTATAATATTTTTTGACTTAGTACAAGTTCAATTTTCATTGCAAATTTTTATTTAGGTCCAACTATAACATTGTCTACTGGTATGAAAAATATAATAGATGCTATGAAAATACATAATGTAGAAGTAGTATCTGTTTGTTTATCTGGTAAATTTTTATAATTTGTAATTTTAATTTTTCTATTAGAATTGGTTGATATATTTTTTGATAATATTTTATTTTTTTTTACAGCATTTTTATTTTACAAACCTGAAGCAGTGCCTAACATATTTAAAGATTTAAATGCAGATCATCAACGAATGTTTGATCTTCTTAAAGAAAGTCAATTAAAATGGATTGCAGTATTACCACCTCATATTGCAGGTGTTTATTATAATAAATATTATATCACTTATAATTTTTTAAGAAATTATTAATATATATATATATGTATATTTATATATTTTTACAATTCAAAAAGATTAATATTTTATGAATTTGTAGATGTACCAAATTCAAAATATATAGTGAAACATGATGAATCTCCAGGTCGAGCTATTTCCAAACATGATTTAGGTGCTTTTCTTATTGAAAGTCTTCAACAAACAGAACATTATCAAAAAGTTTGTGGTATTGCTAACACTGCATAATATAACAAAAAATATATTTTGTAATTTGTAAAAAACTTAAAAGTATTTTATAAAATTTTGTTTACTTTTAAGAATATAAAAAAATAAATAATAAATTTAGAAATTTACTATTTTTAATTTGTACAAAAGAAATTGTTAATTTTTTAAAGAATATTTGTGATTTTAAACATCTATTGGAATGATTGTAAATTATGATTTGTAATATATGAATGAGATGTATGCATGAAAAACATTTCTATATTTAAAAGCAATTAAAATTAAAATTAAAAAAATAATTTTCTTTAAGATAAATAAATAAATAATATACATATGGAATATATAAAAAATCTTATGTATAAAAAGAAAATTGTTTATCATTGTTTTACTATTGTAATGATAATTTTTTTACCATATGTGTTCTGTGTGTTATAACACCTAAATCATAAAACTTTGGCATTTGAAAGTTTGGCATTGGAGGTGGTGGTGGACCACAACATTGTGTACTTTTCTCCTTAAGTTTTGCTTTAGTAAATGCTGCACTAGAATATACAACATCATTAATTCCTGATGCTTTAAATGGATCACAGGTTTTATAACCATTTTTAAAGTAAAAAACTTCTTGACCTTTAGTTATTAAATATACATTTTTAATTCCTTTTTTTGCTACATGTTCTTCAGCTCCACGTAATAATTTAGATCCAAGTCCTTGAGATCTACACTGGTAGTCAATTATTACTAACATATGAAATAAGAAATTAAATTTTGTTTTGAAAATATGTACATTTTCACTTCATTTTTTTTTATATAATTATATTTACCTGATTGTATAAAGCAACTGTGACGTAATCTAGGTATTAAAGATATTTTACAATGACCAAGTACTCTATCTTCTTTGTCAACTAATATAAGACATGTGGGAAATTCATCACATGATACATTCAGAAATTTTAACCTATTATATATAGGAATTTATTTTATTTTCAAATAGAAATTTTTTAAATTAAAAATTATAATATACCGTGCAGTTTCACTTCTTGGCCATTCAGAATTCAGTAATGTACAACAATCTGGAATTAAATCTGGTCTTTTATGAAGTGGTATTATTTTATATTCTTTGTCAATAGTGGTCATATTTTTTTCTGTAATCATAAATTATTATAATGTAATGTTTGAAAAATTATTATGATATTTAATTAAAAAATTTTTTTTAATTTTAATATATTTTAGAAATAAAACTGTAAAAGTTTTAATAACAATTATAATTATAATTTCAAAACAGATTAAAGATATAAAAAAATTATAATAAAAATTAACAATAAAATAATTATTTTTATAATTATAATTTTTATAATATATATTATTTTATAATATATAACTTTTTTTGAAAAAAATAAGAAATAATTTAGTCATTAAATAGATATTCAAAATAAAATCTATTCATAAAAAAAAAGATAATGTTGCGATAAAAATATATTTTTATATAAATTATAATACAAAGATATAAAACAAAAATTCAATAAATTGAATAATACATATTTTATATTAATTATGTGAAAAATATTTCAATAAAGAGATCATATTTGGAAAATTCTTCTAACTTTAAATAGAAAATTGTGCGACAACTTGTGATTGAAAGATGTCAAAAAAATAAAAAGTAACATGTGTCAATGTGAACAAGTGTAATATATAAATAGTTTGATATAGATGTCCTTACCGTATTTTTCTAATTAAATAATAAGAATCTGATAATTAAATTTAAAAGTCACTGTGCTTCATCTGGATATATCTCGCGTGGAAATAGCTCTGAGATTAATATCATCTTGAGCCAAGAATGATACTTCTGTTGAACATATCCCCACTATTATGTAAAATTCTTCTTATACTCAGCGATATTATAAAATATATACCTCATTCAAAAATATATTTTACAAACTACAAATATAAATCTTTTATATGTGATCAAATATCTCATATCTCATATAACAAAGGAAAATTAATGATTTTTATTCTATATTTCATTTATGATCAATACTACATTATTAATCTCCATTATATTTATAGTATTTCAATTAATTAATGAAAAATATTTTATCTTTTAGAAATAATTTTTTAATTAATTTTTTATGATTTAAATTTTTAATAATTTCATTTATTTGACTTTTTACTTTATTCTTAGATATATTTCATTTGTAAAAGATGTAAATAATTTCATAAATTAATATATAAATTTCCTTGTTGTTAAAGTATTTTATTGGAACATGTCCATGACCTATTCTCTTTTAAACACGAATATCTTTTTTTGCATTTGACCCATTTTTTAATAGCTTCTGTTCTATATGCGAACAATGTCCTGCATTCTTTATTTCAACAGTGATGGTCAATAACATTTTTCAATGAAACGATTTCAAATAATTACAAGAATATAGACAAGTTTTTTTATATTTATTATATATAAAAAAAAAGGAATAAAAAAAAATGTTTATAAATCTTCATATATTATTTTATTTTTTTCTTTTATTAATATTTTAGATTTAAAATCTAAATCTAAAATGAATATTTAAGATATATGAGAACCATTAATGATCATAGTAGTTGATTTATTTGGTGATTTGTTTGATGATTTCTAATTTCTTAGCATTTAATATAAATAAATAATAATATTTATACAGATTGTTTATATATATGTTTATAATTATAAATAAAAATGTTATATTTGAATTTTTGAAGAAAATAATTGTATAATCAATACTAAATCGTGTAAATAAAAAACGAATATTTTGAATTATTTTAAATCATATTTAATAATCATATATTTTATGAAATAAAAATGTTATCTGGAAGACCTGCTGTAACAGGTAATAATATATGAAAATTAAATCATCAATATAATTAATATAATAAATTTGTTTATGTATTTTCTAACCTCTTGTTGTTTTATATTTATTTGATAGAAAATCCTTTGGGACTTTCTTGGCATGACAGTGCATGGATTCCTGTATTAAATCCAAATAATATAATGGATTATTTTTCAGAAAGGAGTAATCCTTTCTATGATAGAACATGTAATAACGAAATCGTTAAAATGCAACGTTTAAGTCCTGATCAATTACAGTAAGTAACATGAATGAAAATATCATTTAAAAAAATAATATAAATATTTAAATATTTAATTTCAGAAATATGACTGGATTGGAATATATTCTTTTACATGTACAAGCCCCTATTTTATATGTAATCAGAAAGCAACATCGTCATTCTCCAACTTTAGCAGCACCACTTGCAGATTATTATATTATTGCAGGTGTTGTGTATCAAGCTCCTGACTTGGCATCAGTTGTGAGCTCTAGATTGGTATATTTTATTGATTTATGATTTCTGATTTATTGAAAATTTTTATGAACATTATTAAAACATATTGTTAATATATAAAATTATATTTTATAGTTATCTACAGTACATCATTTACAATCTGCTTTTGAAGAAGCTAGTTCATGTTCAAGATATCATCCTAGCAAAGGTTATTATTGGGATTTTAAAAATGGAAAAGCTATGGCAGCAAAAAAAGAGACACCTGTTCGTGAAGAACCAAGCTCTTTATTTCAACGTCAAAGAGTAGATATGTTACTTGCTGAACTTACACGAAAATTTCCATTACCTGTTCCAAAGCCAATACATCAAGCTATAGAACCTTGTAAGTACTTAGTTCTTCATTTTTTAAAAGATATTTTAAGCATAAAAATAAATCTTTGTTAATTTTTTAGCAATGGAAATTAAACAAGAAATAAAAACAGAAAAGAAGGACATGAAACCACCACCAGAAAAGAAACCAAAAATTAATTAATAGTTGATTTATAACAATTTAATAATAATATAAGATTTTATAAAAAAAATGTTTTATATATATAGATATTTAATTATTATATTTTTTCTGCTAAATAAAAGGTGTGATTTATTTATATTTGAATATATTTTGATGTATTATTGAATTTATAAAATTAAAAATAAATGCCAAATATATTTGTTATTCTGTAGTTTTTATTATTATCTGCACCATGGACAGTCTAGATTTTCCATTTCCTCTTTTATATTAATCCGTGGAAACTTTTTCTCCTCAATTTTTTTTTTTTTAATATTTTTATCACAAAAATCAGGATATTTTATTTTCTTTCTAGGAGGTAGAGGTTGACAAGGAGATTTTTGATGTTTTTGTGCTCGAATTAAATTAAAGTATCTTGAAGTAATTGGTTTGATCTATAAAATTATATCGTTTTTATAGATAAATAATTAATAAATAAAATTTATAGATATTTTGTTACAAACTTTCATACTGATTTGTACAATTGATTTAATATGATGCATTACGTTAAATTTTCAATTAAGAAAATGGTTATGAAAATATCTTGAAACTTCAAAATTATGTTAATAAAATATATTAGTATTTCAACTTTTTTTTAGAATTTCATTTGTAATTTTCTATTGCACAGAAAAATGGCATGTAAAGTAAAAAATGATATGCGATGGAAATATATGTCCTGAGAAATACGAAGATGAAAAAATTTACGAACAGAATATTTATGATATTGATCAAGACGAATTTATAAAAAATTTAAAACACGAGAAATGTAAAATAATTCAGTTAGTTCGTCGACAAATACATAAATTTTATAATACTCAAGTAACATTAAATTAAATATCAATGAAAATTCTAGTTTATAATTTCTATTTATGTATCAAAAAAGATTAATATAAATTTTTTTTCCAGTTTGAACTATGTTCAATATCAAATGAATGGCAAAAAAAATATACGCAAGAACCAGAATATATCTCATATAAGAACATAAGAGAAACTACACCAAAAACTTTACTTGTTCCAAAGAATACAATATGGACTGGTCAAGCATGGTGTTTATGTGCTTTAAAAAGAATTCGAAGAAAAATTTGTATGGTAGTATTAATTGCTGGAATTATTGCATTGATGGTATCAATTTACGGCATTTATTTTCACGCATATCTTTGTAATAATGGGAAATCTTGCGTCACATCGCTTCGATACACTCACGTCAAACATGCATTATTTTAAATATGCACGATAGACACAACAAATAAATCGACGGAGAAGATATTGGATATTGTTGTGTTTACGGGAAATTCTCATCGGAATAAGGAAACCATCTAAGACTTGACACAAAATATATTAAACTTGGAATAATACACCATGTGTAGCATTTAATTAATATGCAACTAGTCTTGACGTTTCCTAAATTTTTTCAGTTCCATAGATTTTTCAATGATGAGACATTTGACCTGTAAGCAGTGTAATATGTACGTCGTAATATTCGTACTGTGCCGATCCGTCGTGCAATTTACACCAACTCAACAAGAAGACCAGTTGCAATTCATTTGACATTCGTTTTCAATGTCAATATAATTATTCAGTACGATTGTTTTTTAGGCTTTGTAATATCGGTCCTCTTGATATGTTTGGCTCGTTCGTTTTTTAAAGATATTTTTTATACACAACTTTCTGGACCAGGTATAGAGTTGGCGATAATGATTTCTTTCATTAAATTACGATCTGCTTTAAAACTAATAGGTTCCCAAGATTTTGTGAAGAATGGATTTGACTATAATAAAAATTGAAAAAAAAATACATTTACAAAATTTATTATTGTTATTTATTATTAATATTTATTATTAATAATACAATACAATATTATTTGCATACTTACGCTGCATCTATTACTTTGAAGTCCTTGTTTATGAATATCGTATGGTGCAAATAATGTATCTGGTCGTACAGGTAAAAATAATTGTGATTCACGTTTTATTTTTTCTTGATCTATAATTCATCATTATATTATTTTATTTATGTATTATATTATAAATAGAAATAAAAAAAAAAATGTTTACCTTGCGGCGATTGTATGATATCTGGCTGATTATTGAGCGCATAATCAGTAACTTGTTTTAATGTATATTCAACGAAATAAGTATGATCTCCGTGTGTGACATCAAGCATGGAATTATTTCTTGAATCTGGAGGAGTAATTATTGGTTGTTTCATATAGGGCTCAATGTGAACCGGAGAAGTAGTACCTCTGCGTCGATACATCATCAACATCACCGACAATACAGTGACACCAAATGCCATCAGACAACCAATAAGAAGCAAAATAAGAGGAACCATGCTTACTCCGCTATCTAAAACAAAAATTGCCAATAAGAAATATTTAATATCAAATATTTGATATTATCTTGTTAGAATACATAATCTTAAAATCTTTCTAAATGCTATTCTTACCTGTGTGCTTTTCAGAGTCTCTCAACATGATATCCTCTAATAGACTCACTTCACTTCTTCCTTTTGCATTTACGGCATAAGTAACAAGGTAAAAATGAGTCGCTGGAAGAAGATCTGCTACGGCGATTCTAAATATCGGTACATCTGCGGATACACTTGATGCATTTACTCTTAAATTACCAGTAAGGACTTCGTATGCCTCTAATCGAAATTCTTGTCTTAATCCACCGTCATATCCTGGTACACATTCTACTTCCAAGATTTCAGAACTTTGATTTAGGGATGCTTTTATTGTACAGTTATTCAAAGGATTTGGTTTCACTAGAAATATAAATTCAGTTAATTTTTTATCATAATTATCATATATTTATATGATAATTATTTAATATGAAATTTTAATATGTATTTAATATAAATTTCATTATGAAATTTTAAATATATTTCACAAATTACCTGCTGGAATGATTTGATAGATACAAGGTGCTTCTTGTTTTCCTATCGCATTTCTTCCCCAACACGTTAAAGCTCCATAATCTCTTTCAGAAACAGGAGTATAAATAAGTTCGCTAGTTGTTCCATTGTTATCGTCAAATTTTGCTGGTGCAACTTCGAAATTTTCTCCGCTATTATTGAATTCCCAAACAAATTCTACTTTGTTAGGATCAGCTTCTACTTCGCAACGAACCTTTACTGATTCTTCTAATGATGCTCCAATAACGGATACTTCTTTTGCTTTGCATACAGGTGCAACTAAACAGAGATAAAGAAAATAAATTGAAAAATGGAATATAATGAATATATATATATATATATATATATATTCATTATTATATATATATATATATATTCATTATATATATATATATATATATATAATAATGAATATATAGATAGAAAAAATACATGTAATTAAAATATATAGAATATACATATAGATAAGATATAGAATTATTTATTAATTACAATATTTATAACACATTTCATACTTACATTGTACTCTTAAAGTTACTATTGGACTTATGGTTTCACCTCGATCATTACTTGCAAGACATGTATAATTTCCGGCATTATCACGACCTATTTTTTGCAGCACAAGACTCTGAGTACTCATAATTATTCCAGCCGATTGGTTTTGTGTTAATATCATATCCTTGAATTATTTGACAATATTATTAATTATTATAATTAATATTATGACAAATAAATTGATACTAACAATAAGTTACTCACGTTGTGTCTCCACGTAATTTTATGGTGTTCTGGATTAGCTCGAACTTTGCATTCAAAATAAACATCATCACCTTCTTTTATTTTTTCTGCATTTAAGGTACTACCCAAATGTAATTGTACTTTAGGTGGAACTATGAAAACACATATACAATTATTATTTGAATATTGTTCTTATAAGGAAGTATTGAAAATACTCACAAACTACATTTAATTGAAAAAAGTCTTCTAGATATGCATCTGGCAATTTTGGATTTTCTCCTCGGCACTTGAGAATCTTTCCATGGTCATCCGGGATCGGTGAAAATATGAGCGTACTTATGACCACCGAAGAATTACCTCCAATGAGTACCTACATAATTGAATCATCCGCGAATGATGATATATGTATATACATCTTACAAATTTGTAGCAAATCATCAATATATACTTTGCCATTGTGATAAATGGCGTTTCCTTCCATCCAAGTAATACGTGCTTGAGGATGCGACCCCGTAGTCTCACATGTGATGGAGTAATCTTTTTCCGTCTCTAGAATCGTTGGTTTCGTTAAAATTTTTACTGACAGTGGTTTCACTGAAACGATAGAATATAAAAATGATAAAAAAAATATGTATGTATGTGTGTGAAATTAATAATTCGATAATATAACATATAATATAATAAATTTTTAATACTTACGATAAACGTCTAAAAGAATGCTTTTCTCTAATGGAGGTATAAGATTTGTGCTCCAGGCTCGACATTTATACGTGGTGTTACGATGTTCTCTTCTTAATTGAGGTACTGTTAATTTACTGACAACTAAATTCTTTCCAATTTCTTCTAATTTGCTATCCACTTCTTTCTCGTTAACCAACCAACTGACTACCGGTGTTGGTTTGCCTATATTTTAAAAAATCCAATTTTCAACTTTGTGAAATTTACGTTATTTTGATAGTTTTATGTAGTTGAACAAATGATAATTACCTCCCCTTACTTCGCAAGATAAACCAAACTCGACACCTACTTGAAATGGTCCTGCGGTATCCCCTATCACCACACCAGAAGTATCATAAATTAAAAGTTGATAGGGTGGAACTGAAAATAATTTATAAATAATTAGAAGTCTTTTAAAAATTTCTTATCGGATAAATATTTTTTTCAAGATAAGAATTCCTACCTATTACTGTGAGATTCACTTGAAAATTTTTTGTGGGAGAATTTTTAAAATCTACTCTACACCGATAGATTCCTTCATCGTCCAGTTGAACAGCTTCTAGAGAAAGAGTGGCTGGTTTTGTCATGGTGACGAAATAAGCTCTCGGTCCAACCACGGTGCTATCTGACCAATTTAGAGCTTTGTTAAATGATCTTCCTCGGACGTCGAAACTGAAAAAAAGACATTTATTGTGCAAATATTTGTTTCGAGTCGAAATTTTTCAAGTTTTGAAATGAATGATACCTGTAGATTGGTTTCACAGCATCGTCGCGAAACCAAAGCACCATGTATACGCGATCTTCACGCGTGGACGGTTCAATGTCACAAGGCAATCTAGCGGTACGTCCAAGAACGGCACTGACTTCAAAAGTTGCGACTAAAAAAGAAAAAGGAAAAAAATAGAGAATTATATTTAGACAAGTAAAAATCCTTTAAAAGTATTTATATAATAATTATTTAGAATGAATATTTAGAATTTCGATAGTTCTTCATTTACTATTCGTTTCAAAATAGATAAATGTAAGCAATTAAGTAAATAATAATAAATAATAAATAAATAAAAATATATTAGATATTTGATTAGATATATGACTGATCAGTGTACGTAAAAGCTATTTAAGATCCAGCTAACCTTGAATATTTAGAACAAATATTAAATATTTGTATTTCAAATTTTACATAGCTGAATATCTATTTAAGTAGATACAATTCATATTTAGTCAGCCATATATCTCATCATATACACATCAATAAATTACATTAATCCCCACTTGAAAAACAAACATAGAATTTTATATTTTATTTCCAAATCTTCTTTATAATTTTTATTCTTCGTAGAATCTCACTGCAAAGGCGACCAACGTACCTAAATCATCGTCCTTATCCCAGTTTCCTGTGGCATTCACATACACGACCACGGCGAGTACGTAGCCACTGATGATGAGTTTGATCGCGATATCGGCCAGCACCCCTATCGCCATTCCAAGGGGGAATGATCTAAGGGGTAAATTCGGTATATTCAGATCCACTCTTTGCATAATGTCGCCCTGTGCCGGTCTGTCCCGTGGTTCTCCTTTATTATCATTCCACGTCGAGAGGTAGACGGCCTCCTCCCACCTCCTCTGTTTCGTATGTTATGTCCTCGACAAACGTACGAATCCTCAACTTTCTTCGCTCCTCTCTCTTTCTCTTTCTCTGGAGTAACGATAAAGGGACAGGGCGCAGGACTCGTTCACCGATTAATTCTACTACTGTAGGAACCTTTCGGTCGAATTTCCTTTGTTCGTTCTCTGTTTAAAGCGTACATCGAGAACGGATCGTTTGTAAATGAAAATTTTTGTGTTAAAAATACGATACAGATATTTGAAGATTTTTTTTTTTTTTTACGTTATTCTGGTTGACATCTTCATCTTTGTCCAGTTGAATAATGAAGAAGCTTTTGTATTTGCTTTAATTTGCTTGCATTGATTTGGTAGATTGGAAAATGTAATTGGAATCAACTTTGATGTGTCTCGATGGATTGTAGTTTAGTAGGTCGTGTACAAACGTGTTCAAAATTATTGTCGTTTCACGAGTGTTAAAAATGCCGGCTCTTATTAACCCACACATACGTTTTGTCAATAATGATAACGATTAAAAGGATAATTTTATATTTTCCCTACACCCTTGTTGGATAAAAATCATCATTTTCAAGGATGAATAATATATCTTACAAATTTGACGAGCTTTTGCTATGGAAGCTTTTCATCGTACCATGAAGGAACTCATTTTTCTTCTTCTTCGTTTCTCCGTTTATATCTTTTTGGATTTTGGACAACATACATTACCCGATTTTAATCAATTATAAAGGGACGAGATAGAAGAATTTTCACCTTTCGTTTACGCGAACACTGTTCTTTTACACTGTTTCGCGAACTGACTGAATGTCCGTTTCAGAGAACACGAAAGCTTTCTCGACATTTGGAGGGTTGTTCTCTGGCAGGAAAAGAGAGAGCAAGACAGAGAGTGATAAGAGAGAGCCGGTCAGCGGTGCTTTCTCGTAACCGCGTCGTTGCAATGGACACGCTTTGCAGGCGTCGCTAACCCGACGACGATGAGCGCCGATCGATTTTCGTAAAGTCAGTCTGATCTCGCTTCGTGTTTCGACGCTCTCGATTCCTGCACGATATATAGGCCCTATGTATGCTCCGCGCAACGCACACACACGATAGCTTGCGAATAGCAACGAATCCTCACGATATGTCACGACCTTTTATATATAGACGATACAAAAGCTATGTTCAAGAATGTTCATCGAATTCGGATGTATTGTTTAATTATTAAAAACACCCTCAGTCACTAATGATGTTTGTTTTTAATTGTTTATTTGATTTTTTTTATATAAATAGAAAATAATATTAGAGTAGAGATAAATTGATTAATCAATTGTTTTTTTTTCGAAAGAATTCGTAAACAAGAAATAAAATTTATAGAAAATACGTAAAAAGTTAATTTTTATTTTTTAACATTATTTTTTATTAAACAATTAGATAATTTAAGATAGAGATGTATTGCTTCATTTATTCGGATTGAATTGACTAGATTTATAAATTTCATGATCGATGGTGAATGTGTATTAAAAATAAAAATATTTTACCTTTTTTGAGCATCCGTGTTTTTTCTGCTTGAACTTTAATATCTGCTGAAATATAAAAAAAATAAACATTTCATCCTGTTCGAGGTTCTCTGCGAGTGATCGGAAGTGAGAAACTCTCTCCTGTTAATAATGACATTATATTTGAAATAGTAATGTTTACAACATACAATTGCGACGTTACTACAGTTTTTTTTGTCATTTTTTCTTCCTTTAAGATAATTGATAATGTTTTCGCAAAAAGAAAAAAAAAAAGAACGGTCACACGCATCTCGCTTCGATTCATTCACGGCCATAATGTGTTTTACAGTTGTGTTTCTTCTTTTCCTTTCTCTCCCTCTCTCACGCTCGTTCGATCTTTCTCTCTCTCTCTCGCATTCTTTTATCTCTTTTGTCGGGGAACGCATGGATTACGCGAGCCGGGATCCACGTCTAATCGCATGTACTAACGTGTCGAAAAATAAACGGCGAAATTGTACAATAAATGGATGTCCGGTGTTTTGTTTTTTTTTTTTTCGTTTTTCCAAGTTTCTTTTAAAGGGGATGTGGAGGCAATGGGTAATAGTAACCGAGCCGGAAATTAATTTCATTAGTATATTGTCATATTGGTGTCTGCTTTATGCTCTAAAACGTTCTCCAAAAGATGGGCGAAACCGGCCCATTGGAAATCTCGGGTCACACGGACTACATAACTTTCCTTCTCTTTCTCCCTTTACTTTTTTTTCTTCCTTGCGTGTTTTTAGCTGATTGCTTGCTGCTGCTTCGCGCTCGTTTGCCTTAACAATAAGCAATAAGAACACGACATAGCTAGTCGTCGAACGCTACGTGTTCGACCTGCTTTTTCTTTTTTCGTTTTCTTCTTTCTTTTTTTATTCATTCTATATGGATGTTTTTTTCAGTTTTTCCCCATTTTTTTTATACTTTTTCTTTTCTTTCATTCCTAGCAACTGCTACGAATAGTCTCACCCTCGCTATGTTAAACGTACTGTGACCTATGGACTATGGCACTTGGTGCAACTAGTTCGGATTTCTTGGATACTGCTTATATGTAAGGTACTTAATTATTATCATTATTGTTAGTTATTTATATATATATTTTTTGTATTTATATATATATATATATTTTATATTTATATGTATATATTTATATGACACATGATAATTCGTGCGTTTCACTATAATACACAGGCATGCGCAAGACGATACAGTCAATTTATTTTTTTTGATTTCTGCATTGCGTTGTACTGTTCAAACTGGCAGAACAGAATTTTTCTTCAACAAACGTTTTAAACAAAACTATTGAGAAATTTTTGTCTTCTCTTTTTAAATAAATATTAAAGAAATTAATAGTAACAAAAATTCCTATTGATCGTGAAATTTTTCGAGATTAATATACTATTGCAATGTTTAGGTCGGCGTTTTCAAGGGGATAAAAATAATCTTGGCTGCATCACCTTGGACAAAAACGTTGATCGAGTCCAATTATCGAATTAATATCTTTTATATCGGTTTATGGGCTAAGTGGTCTATTATACACTTGAATAATACAATTGTCGCCGCGCGAACATCATAGAACGCAGAAAAAGATAAATAGAGTGCAAGTGCGAGTTTTACATTTAAAAAGAAAATGATCGTAAGTGCGTTGTCTTCTTCTCTCCTCATCTCTAGAATTCGAGTCCTCTTTTTGATCGCTAAATTTATTACGTCTATACGCTATACAGTCCGTCGGTTTCGCCTAAGAAAAATAAAAAAATTAAAGAAGAACGATTCTTTTCTATATATAGGCCATTTTTTTTCTCCTGTTTCTTTTTGTTTTAATGATTAAATAATAATCATTAATAATTATTAATTATTTTATACTTCCTTTATGCACCAAAGATAAAATTTATTTTTTCAATTCCTATGCAGACATCTCCCTTTCTTCATTCCTATGTATACATAAGTTTTTTTAAATATACTAGTACATCATTTATCGGTTCTTTGTTTCTTTCTTTTTCATTTTTCATCTTTTAGCGTGTGAAACGGAAAATAATTAAAATAAATCCACACGTATTTAATACTTTTACAATACATATTGTATTGCTTCTTTCATTCTCAATGCGTGGAATCGAGTTGTTTTAATTTAATTTCGATTAATATTTTCCATATACTCATTTCTAAATATATCGACTTCAGTTATTTCCTTTTCCTTTTTCATCATCTCATGTATTGCGACGACGTATTATATTCAACGATTTATATCAATCATCTTATATCTAATAAACGCGAATTATATGAAAAAAATTAGTTCATACAAAAAAGTCTCGTCATCTTGCTTGTTTAATATTTTATTTTTCCGGCATTATGAATACCGTATATCTATCATTTTTTTTTTTTTTTTGCGGTATTTTTTTTTTATATAACGTTAAAGCGTGGAAATCGAGTTTACTTAGCTAAAAAACAATGACTCGTTTAAACGCGCGTTTTTTTTTCTGTTTTGTCTACTTAGAAAAGTATTTTTAAGGAGCAAAATTTTTGGCCTTACGGCTAGTATATTGATATTATTATAATTATTATTATGATCGTTTCTTCGAACGATATTATATATACTTAAGTAAGATATTTACGCGTGACGTATTTACAATTGAACTTATTGTACATATTTTCACGATCGCCGTCTCGTGAAAAATAGATGTTTTGCTCTTTTTCACTTACAAAACTCTGACTATCTATCCTGATAACTACTCTTTCTCGCTTGCACGTAATACAGCTCTTTTTTCTCTTACTTTTCTTTACTTCTCATGTTATTTCCGGTTATCTCAATTTAACCTTATCCTTTCAATATAAATCGCGCAAATTGTAAGATGCTCTCCTGGGTAAGACACTGTTATTATAATACCATTCCTACTATACAAGATGTCCCAATAAAAATTAACACTTGATTATCTTTGAAACTATAAAAGAAAAATCGATTTTTAAACATATCATGTAAAAGAAATATATAAGTTTATAATATAATTCTTTTTATATGACTGCGTTATAAATATTTATATTTATTTTGAGAGTCACAATCAGTCAAAAAAAATATAGGATACCATTAAAAAAACAAATCATTTTTCTAAGCAACTGCAAAAACTTACAAAAAATCAATTATAACTCTTGAAATATCAAATAATTTTTATTTGAAAAATTTTTCTCTAATAGTTTCTAAGATAAATAATAATAATTAAAGTAATAATTCTTACTTGGACACTCTAATATCGATAAACAGCGAACGTGATCATCGAATCAAAGAATATACAGTTCGTTCGGTTCGGAAGCACTGAACGTCCTATGTATCGAAAACACGGCAATTCATCTCGATCGCAATCGTTAACAAGTAGACCCGAGAATACAAAAACGACCAACTTATCGATTATTATTTCCATCGGCGTGTTGTACTATATGAAAATACAATGTAAGGCTGCGTTTATGCGTTTCACGTTTCATGAAATCGCAACTTAACCTCTTGTTTATCGTTTTTTAAACCTTCATCGATTTCAATGTATCAAAGTAATAGTAACAATATTAATAATGTTGTTAGATTAGCATATTATTGAATTTCGTACTTCATATTTTTACAAAATTCAAAATACATATTTGTTCATTTATATTTATATTTTTTAATGGATCATAAAATTTAAACTAAATTTAAAACTAAAATAAAATTATTGATAAGATATAATATAGAGAAGTGAAAAAAAAAGATACATTAAATTGATGGAGGTTTAAAACAATAAAATGATATACATCTGTTAATAAAATTGCGTTCTACTAAAATTCCTTGAATGATATTTGAGCTGCATGAAAAATTCATTTCTTGTCAACTTTCTGTCGACAAGATATTGATACCGATTACATAATATCAGTTAAGATATATCTGTCAAATACCGCTGTATGTATATTATAAGAACTTTTTTAGATGTACGTTTTTTAAGGCCATGGCATCTGTAAATCTTTCTTTGTATTACGTAAAAGTGGGAACTATTTTCAAAAAACTTCGGGATTATTTTAATCTCGCAAAATTGTCTGTTTCTGTCGCTTACGTACTTACAATTCTAATGTATAGTCTTAAACGCAACGTTCCATCCGTGAAGAAGCATATCATTACGCAATCGTATACCTACGGATATTACAAAGTTTAACAATTTCGTTTTCTTTTTTTTCATAGTCCGTGATAGAATTGCACAAAAAGTTAATATAATTTATATCTGAAAAATTAATTAATATAATTTTTTCGATATATTGAAAATTTGAAAAAATAAAATACGAAAACATTTCTTCTGATTGGGATTATTAACTTGTGTTTAATTTATAAATTCAAGATTATTGAAATTACTATGCAAGAATCACAAGGCAATTATTTTCGAAAAATTTTTATGTAATACCGCAGTAAATATAACAAAATAAAGAGTTAACAAAAATGATCAACAATGATGATAAGGATAAGAAAAAAAAAAAAAAAAAAA